CATCCATCCATCCATCCATCCATCCATCCATCCATCCATCCATCCATTATCTGTTACTCACTTTTTTGTTTTCGGGTCACGGGGGTCGCCGGTGCCCATGTCCAGCCATCACTGTGAGAGAGGGTACACCCTGAACAGGTCCATCACAGTCCATCACAGGGACACATACAGTAGAGACAAACGAGACAACCATTCACTCTCTCACTCACACCTAGGAACAATTTAGAGTTACCAATCAGCCTAACATTCAATTCAGTTTATTTAAATAGCACCAAGTCACAACATAAGTCATCTCAGGACACTGAACAGAAACATTCATATACATTAAAAGTAAGTTAACATTTTTTATCTGAGGAGCAGACTGCTTCGAATTTAACTCCATCACATCCAGAACTCTTATCTTAAGCAAGCATGAAGGTGACAGTGGAAAGGAAAAATTCTCCCATGAGGAAGAAACCTCCAGCAGAACCAGGATCAGGACAAGCAGCCATCTGCTTCAACCAGCTGGGTTTGAGAGGAACAGGAAGGAGGAACAGATACACAATGGCAGGTCAAGAATCACATGTTAAGATAGAAATAGTATCACATGAAAACTATTCAATTGTAACTATTCAGTTTAGTAAATGTGGACAATTTGTCATCCAGTAGTCTAAGCCTATGGCAGCATAAGCCAACCCTAATTATTTGTACAGAAATAGAGTAATGTATGAATGGGTAAATGAGGGCACAGATTGTAGTGTAAAGCGCTTTGATTATCTCAATAAGATAGAAAGGTGCTATATACAGTAAGTACAGTCCCATTTCCCATTTCCACTTAATTATAGGATTTATCAAAAACGAAAATCTTGAGTTCAGTCTTAAAACTGGACAATGTGTCAACATCATGGACAGAAACTGGAAGTTGGTTCCACAAGAGAGGAGCCTGATAACTGAAAGATCTTCCTCCCATTCTGCTTTTGGAAACTCTAGGAACCATGAGTAAACCTGCAGTTGGAGAGTGAAGTGCTCTGTTAGGAAAATATGGGACAATAAGAAATCTCATATAAGATGGACCTAGGTTGTTGAGAGCTTTGTAGGTTAGAAGTTAGATTTTTAATTCAATTCTGAATTTGACAGGGAGCCAATGGAGAGAAGCTAAAACTGGAGAAATATGATCTCTCCTACTAACTCCAGTTAAGACTCTGGCAGCAGCATTTTGGATCAACTGAAGACTTTTTAAAGCAGTAATTGGACACCTAGGTAATAAACCATTGCAATAGTCCAGTATAGACATATGCAACTATTTCTCTAGAATTTATGAGATGAATGTTAGGTTAGATATGGGTTTATAAATGCCCAGAATTCTTGAATCAAGATCAGACTTATTAAGTATAGGTTTAATTACAGCAATCTTAAAGTGCTGTGGTACATAACCATTAATTAAAGACAAATTAAGTAGATCCAAAATGTGGGTCTTAATTAGGGGAAATACCTCTTTAAACAGTCTGGTTGGGATGGGATCTAGCAGACATGTTGATGGTTTGGATGAAGCTATTATTTTTGACAATTCGGAGAACTCAACAGGACAAAAACAGTCCAAACACAAATCAGGTTTTAGTGACATTTCTAAAGTGGCCTCATCTGACAGGTAATCAGAGGTGATAGTAGGAAGGATGGTTTGAATTTTCTCCCTAATTGAAATAATTTTATTTACAAAGAATCTCATGAAGTCATCACTACTTATAGTTGTAGGGATACACTGCTCAGTAGAGATGGAACTTTTCATTAATCTATATATATAGTGCTGAACAGAAACTTGGGGTTATTTTAATTCTAATCTATTAAAGATGAATAATATAAAGTTCTAGCTTTATAGAGTTTTCTTATGTTATCAGGCTATCGCTCTAAGTTAAATAAAATTCTTCAACGTTAGTTGTGCGCCTTTTTCTTTCCATCTTTCTAAAGGCCAGTTTTAAAGTACATAACTCAGGAGCCAGTCTCCTCTGATTGATTACTGTCTTTTTCATCAGAGCAGTTTTATCAAGTGAAGTTTGCAGTGAAGTTGTAAAATTATCCACAAAATCATCTAAGTCACTGTTCTCTACTACACTACTCTGCAAGACAGTGGAAAATAACAACGGAAGTGATTCTTTAAATTTAGTTATGGCATTCTCTGATAAACACCTGCTATAATGAAATTTACTCTTAGTGGCTATCCATCCATCCATCCATCCATCCATCCATCCATCCATCCATCCATCCGTCCGTCATCCATCCATCCATCCATCCATCCATCCATCCATTCATCCATCCATCCATCCATCCATCCA